TGCTATGCACAATATTGCTCTATAATATATTAGGTGTTGGAATTAATTCGTAGCGTTTTACAAGTGATGGGAAGTACTTTCATTAATGTATTTTTTAATGCTCATGTGAAATAAATAACATTCTTTCATTAAAAACGCTACGAATTAATTCCAACACCTAATAAATATCCATCATAAAAACAAAAAACATGTTTACAATTTAAAAAGAATATAAATAAGACTAGATTCCATTAGAGATGATATTTCGACGATTCGCTTAGAAAAGTATGACGGTATCGTTATAATTAAATCTCACTCTGATACCATCCCAAATGCAACGCAGTCCAATATTGTCTAAAAATGAATTATCACTGCACAATTCTAATTCCAATATGGCGAAAGCAAAATCACTCTTTGGTTAATCAATTCTCTATCGTGATTTTATGTACATTCCAGTCTCTCATCTTTGGCACTAAGCTATGATCGAGTTTATACCTTATTTTCGTGAGATACGTCATGACACGTTGTGTCTAAAATTTATTTTTATCACAATAATAATAAATATATTTTATCATAAAATAAATACAGAAATTTAATAAAGGTAATTAGCTTTTCCATACAACTTTGTATATATATATATCTATCCAAAGTTTCGAAAGGCGATTTTTAAATGCTTTAAAACATGGATTTAAAAACATCTTTAATTATCATTTAAATATCAAATTTTTTGTTAAATTTCTCAATGCAGACAATATCCAGATAATATCTCGTAAAAAAAAGAAATGAACAATCAAAGAGCAATATGAATTGCATCATGTCATGACTTTCGTTTGTCGCGAATACTATGCCTCACGTTAGGGGTAAAGTCCGATGATCCTCCACAAAGCTATTCGGTACATCCAGCAAATTGCCACGAGGAAGCGGCGAGGGAACGAGAGTGGTATCACCGTCAACTTCAACATCAGCTACGTCGTTTTCTATAGCAACGGCAGCACCAGTACTACAACCGCTCAATTCGCGTACATTACCGGGTAAATAGTCTTTCCAACTTCTGAACAGGTATCTAGTAAATTTTCTGAGTTGTCGGAATTTGCAGTAAGTAGCGCCTTCTGCAGATTCCAATTGTTGCGTCTGAATAAGGAAACCTTTTTCCTTGAAGGTCTGCTCCAATTTTTCGCGCTGCAGAGATTTTCTGGTTTTTCTCTTTCGCCGGCCATCATCCTGACCGGTTGGACTTCTCTGACATACCGTCGGCGGTTGAATCCTCTCACCGGCAGCATTGAGAAAGGCTCCGGCGGCGGAAGTGGTTCCAGATTGGCCCGCTGGTTGCTGAAGAGCCTCTCTGGGAAAGAACTCGTAACCACGCATACTCTTATCACCAGTACCACTGTAATAACGGAAATTGCCACCTGAATCTACAGAAAGACTTTTCTTCTCTTGTAAACTAGGTTTGGCGCCACCGGTAAATTTGAATTTACATATGCTCACTTCTGTCGCTGGATTATTGTTGTTTTCAGTTGGCATCGGTGGTATAAATATAGCGGAACGCTTCCGTTTAGTTGGTTGACTCTGTTGCTGATTTAAGGGTGCATTTCTCTTCGGTCTGGGCGAAGTAGATGTAGCAATCGACACCGGTATCGTCTGAGCTATAGGTAGTGCCGATACTTGGGCCGCATTTTTCGTCTCCATCATTGAATATATCGATTTTGGCACAATTTTTTGTTCTCTCGGTGGTTGATCCGTTGTCGACGATGGGCTCTTGTCATTTTGGGCGACTTTTTGATAATATAGTAACTGGGACTGCAACGCCATTGGATGAATAAACACACCAGCATTCGGCCAGTACACGAAGCCAGAGTTATGACCGACCATAGGATCAATCACATTGTTATTATGATTGACAAAACTGTTCGATCGATGACCAACTGATTCCGAATAATTCACCGGTTCTGACAGAAAGCTCGTCCCTAAACACTCTACTTCTTCACCATCGCTAGACGTTTCACTTTTCACCTGGCCAGACTCGTATACATTCCCATGTTTCCGCAGTAAACGTATCTTCAGCTGGTTGAGATCTCTAATGCAAAGATTCAGTGGCTCATCTTGCTCCCGCGAATTCTCAGATAACACAAAGTTCCTCCGGGTTTCCTGCGTCAGCCGTTTTTCCAACAAACTGCTGATCCTGTTTTGGACATCGGTCCTTTGAAAAGGTACTTGAGGCGACACACGCTCCTGCTTATCACGAGGCGACAGTCTCTTCTCCTCATGACCAGGCGTGCCCGGCAATATCGTACCATAATTTTTGTAAATCAAATGACATATGTCAGCCTTCTTCGGTTTCCGGCCACGTCTAGGTTTGCTATTATCGAGAGTGATTTCACCCATGTACGGTAGATCGGAATATTTCATGGGAGGCCTGCTAGACGTCTGCGTCTGTTGGATATGATGACTGGGATAAGTTGTATTGCAAGTCTGCGACGACACAGATGTAATGACGGATCTTCTAGTACTCGCGGTGACTTGATTATGGCCGAGGGTCGTTGGACATTGAGGCGGTGCGATCTGCGGACAGAGCTCCTGCTGCATCGCCGCGATTCGCTGCAGCCAACCATGAACGTCGGCGACGGGACTTGGGGTAGACGTCGAGTTGGTCGGCGCTGGACTGGACGCTGTTGGCTCAATGATGCGTGGCGGTGACAAATTCAGATTTTCCTGAGCCAGTGATGCTTCGTAGTGATCCAAATATTCCGGCGGCAATGCTTGGTGATGGAATTTAAGTTTCCATCGCGATTTTCTACGTCCACGACTGGAATATACGAAAATTCATATTTGATAATACTTAGACTAATAGACCACGCATTTTTCCATTATAAAACACTTCTGTGACAAGTTATACCGACAGAAAATCGAACAGAGCATCGAGAAAATTGCAAGGAATAATTATTCTTTTTGTAATTATATTAACTTGTCCATTAAAGTAAAAGAAAAGAAATAAAGAATGCAAGAATGCTTTTATTGCCGGTCTCAAACTAATATTGCATTCGATATATATTATGTTAATACGTTATTTAGGAAAAAAAGTATTTCAACTAGCATGCAATCGTGGCTATCATATCGGTGATATCTCTTTCATTAACACCGGTGACTGCATTCCGAGCCACACCTTAGCGTTTTGTGCCGCGCGATACAGCGCCTTAGCTTTTATGCAGAGAGCGTGTGTCGCGCTTCTTCTTCTCTAGTCGCGACCGAGTCGTTTAATGAAATTCAATAATAACGGTAATCGGCTATCTCGCGACGCGCATTTCGCTGACGTATATCTACAAATTTTTTTTCTTTGCGTACTCGTACAGGCGCGCGCATCACTTTAGAAGACTCGCTCGGCACGAACCAGTTTCCTGGCGCCTATCTTTCTTGTCGACGATCGCACTTAAAGCACTTTCCTGGACATCGGCCGGTTTTACGTTAAAGACGTCGTTAGAGGCTTGACAAAAAAGACAAGAGATAGCCCGAGTCGTTGCCGCGGATCGCGCTACCTGACAATGTAAACCGTCGCGAGACACACTCATCACGCTCTTCAAATGCGTGCTACAAGATTTATCTAAGTTACTAAAATGACAAAAGCATTTTGATGAAAGTAGTATATGCATAAAAGTGCTGTGTTTACTTTGCTCTCGTTGCAAAACCATTTAATTTAAATAGATTAATATGAAATTCGTAAATCTGAGAAAATATACAAATACGTTTTATACGGCGTAAATAAACTTCGAATACTGATACTATTTAATTATTGATAGAATGTTGCGTATAAATCGAAGAAAGATAGATAGATCACCTAGTTCGTCCTCGACTGTTAGAATCTGGACCAGTTAATGCTAGATTTTCCTCCAGTGTTTGAATTTGATTACCACCTTGCTGTCCATGCTTGCTGTCCATTGAACCCGCCACATTGCCTACGTCCACTTGCGAGCTATTAAAAGCAACAAAAAAGAGACTTTTATTCATCAGCGCTTCTAGCAGTTTTGATATATCCTTTTTTCTAATTTCCAATTGAGGCAGACAGCGCACTGGTCTATCATGCCAGAGGTCCCGGGCTCGATCCCGGTAGGTGCCAAAATATTTACACTCGTGTCTCTTCTCGAAAAAGGCCGGCAACCTCCCGAGAATATCCTTGCTCACAGAATTGCCCACAGGAACCACCTTTCACCATTCGGAACCGGCATTAAAATTGTAAGTCTCATATGTTCGTGGCAATTAAATAATCAGCGTGCGCTCCACAAATATGAGAGAGATGTAACACAGAGGTCCAATGTAAGAAGAAGAAGAATTTCCAATTGCGGAAAAAAGATATGATAGGTATATTCAAAATTATATCCGAATAATAAACGAAGAAAGTTATGTCATTTAATGTGCTTGATTTGTGTCGACAATCGATATAAAAGAAAGATTTTGCTGGTGTCATATCATTATAGATTCAATATAAAAATAATCAAATTTTGTTATCATCATTAATTGCTTTATATTGTCTGATTTTTATAAAAAAAAAATCTTTCGTCGAGAAAAAAATTTACAAAAAAAACACAGGTTTTTTTCTATTAAAATACATTCAATTTGCTGTTACAATGAAATCTATCACTAGGAAATATATTTTTACAGCAAAAAATAATTCGTGCAGTTTCAACAAAATTATTATCACAATTTATTTATTTATTGATACTAATTTTCAAATAAAACTAGTATTCATAAATCCGTTTGTCGCGCACCGCGTCGTTCGTAGTAATTAATATAAAATTACTTGAAGAGATTTGCGATTCACCTCAACGTGCTAGTATCGCGACTTCGCTCTTCTTCCTCCTGAGGCTCCTGTTTGACGGCCATGTGGATCAGAGGCGATAGCGGGCAACGTAAATGTACCGAGTGGTGCAAATGATGCTGCAAACCAGCGCCGTCGGTGAGACTACTGTCTATGCCAATAGACTGCGTACGCGGCACGACTTCCTCGGTCTGCATAGTGCCCCCTGAAAATTTAACATTATAGATTAAACATTATAAATTACTATTACAAAATTGATTCTTTCTCATACATGTATCGGTATTTCTTAAAATTGTATCTCGAAATGTAACCGCAAAAGTCTACCATTAACGATTGAGGAGAGGTCTGGGAAATCCTGCATAATCTTATTAACTGACGGCAAACGCTAATTCAATTTTTATTGAAAGGTTAAGACATTAAAACAACATTGTGTGCAACTGTATTTAATTACGATGATAATCGAAGGAATTTATGTTTTGAAAGCTGTTTACTATAATTTGACTCGAGTTTTAAAAACCGCGGTTCAAGTATTCATTTAATTAATCATTAGTTATTAGACAGCCATAACATTCTCGATTAATTAAAAAAAAAAAAGAACAAGGTCCGCTACGCAAACAGCTTCTACTTTCTTATTTCGGCGTTCGCAAGAACCGCGCGAAAGGTCGCGCGTAGGCCGTCGTGGAAGCCGGAGATCGTTGCCGGTGTGCGCGAGGGAATTGTAGAATATTCGTAACCACTGTATTAACGAGCGGATTAATGTCGTGCGCAGCGTGGCGAGTTGTGTTGCGTGGATTTGACGGGCGTGAGAAATGGCAGAAATTAAACGAATGTCTGAACGCGCAAATGGATAAACGATCAAGCGCACCTATTGCCATCGTTGCACCATTCAGCAAACCGCGTAGGCGACCGCGTGTCCGTTCAAGGATTCGAAATCGCACAATAGTGAACTGCAAAAACCATATGTTACACGAGAGAGATCCGCTTAGTGGAAATGTTTCGCGAGACAGCTCGCATTAAGTATTTAATTGGCAACAATCATCTGTCGCACATGTAGTAATTTATCATCGAATTCTAAAGCCAAACTAAAGCTTGTGCTGTTTTTGTTTGTTTTTTTTTTTTTTTTTTTTTTTACAATCACAACAATGTCATTTGCTGATATTTTCAAAATATCAATATAATCAGACGCAGATATTATTCCTTATGTTAAAACAATTTTTTTATATTATATTATGTAAGAAGTTATAAGTAAAAAATGTAAAATGAGCTTATAGATACTACTATTTTTATTACAGGAAAATTTAATGAAGGATCAACGAAGCAAAGATGTCAGCGACCGGCGCGATGATGTCGGAAAACAACGCGCAGAAAGAGACTAAAACGGAGAAAAGAGACGCACAGAAGACGAAGAAGCGTATTACATACTGTGACTTTGCGCAGCACCGTTGGATAAAAATATTCCTGCGCGAAAATAGAACCGGCAACACTCCGGCACAGCCCACCGAACACCCGCAATTCCTGAGCCATACTTGGCCTAGTCGATCGGGTTTCAACGCCTTACGAGAATCCGCTTAGGTATGCATTGGCTGTCATTTAGTTACTTCGGGATAAGATATCGATACAAAGCTAAGGTCTCAAAAACAACCGGAAACACACGCAATCGAGACATATGTATTTGGATACTCTCTGTAATCACAACGTCAAATGTATTAATTTAATTGCGTGGATATTAAAACAGTATTTTAGAATAAAGTTCCAGCGAAAGTAGAGATATAGAAATAACAAATACATCATTGAGATAAAAGATCTATTCTTCTACGTATAAATTAAGTATAAGATTCAAAAAACTCAATAGAGATCGTAATTAAATTAAACATTTGAAGCTTGAAATTTAATCTCTTTACGTTTACTGATATATCCAATAAATAGAAAAATTAAAATTTACAAATCCAAAGGAAGATTCTTTGGAAAATAAAGTCTAAATGTCTTAGGTTTTCGAAATACTGTTATTTGAACTTTTAATGATTTTAAAATGTAAAAAGTTTCACGTAAAAGTGAATTAAATAGTGAGATTAGCAGAAGATATTAATATTGATATGTGCGGGAGGTGGCTCGTTTTCAATGAAGACCAGTTATAGAATGATGCAGGCAGGCGCGTAACTACAATTTATTTTTTGGCTATTTTTAGAGTTTGGCGTAGCGCCACTATTTTCGGTTCTCTCAAATTTCTCACTCCATATTTAGGATTATGGCTGATGGTATCGCGCCACACTAGGCATTTATGATTGCTGAAGCGTATACATTATACCACTGCATATTTAATTTTATTCAAAATGTTAATCAGATTAAAAGATAATAAATGACGACCTCGCTCTAAAAAATTATAGACATTACAAACTCCAGCTGTTTATAAAAGATATTTCAAGAATCTAGCACAGATTCAATCTATATTTTCCCTTTTATAACTAGATGTTTGCAATAGATAAGAAAGTAGAGTGCAGTTATGATTGTATTTTTTTCTCATTTCTCCAATAATATTGCCATTAATATTATGTTGAACTTTACTTATTCATAGGCAACAAGTGGACGAATCGAAGCGGACGTTTGTTCCGCGGGAAAACATGTGGTCTTCCGCACTATTGGCAGAAGTGCAACTAGGTTAAAAACGGAAAGTCAGCCACCGTGCTCGGGAACATGTCAAGGTGATGCAACGGCCAGAAAAAAAGGAATCCTTCAAAAAGATTTCGTTCTTACGCGCGACCAACCAATCGTCCAAATTCTTAAAGTCACAGACCAATTGCTCACCTATTGCGACCTACTAAGACAAACCGTGATCCATTGGCTTGATTACGACGCCGCTGTGGATCCGTAATTACGCATAAACACCCGCGCAAACAGCACAGCGTAGCGACAGTATCCCACGTGGAGAACAGTAACTCATTGTGAGGCTGTTCGAAGAGACGAGAGTGAGATGTTCGATCGAGAAACGGTCTTATTTTCTGTCGGTTACCTTTTTGCCGATATTCAAATAATGCAGCCGGTGATTTTAGATTTACTTTAAATAAAACACGTAGAATATCGATGATTTCACATAATACTACCGTTTGATTCTATTTCAAAAAGTATCCACGGTCATCCAAAAACACGCTGTCAGAAATGTGTTAATTAAAAATCGCTTTAGTCCGGATCTACAGTAGGTGTTTTAAGTCTTAAGCCGTAAGAAATTGATCGACTACAATCGAATGCGAGGAGAATAATTAATTGTGATTCGTCTATTCCTATAGCTTAAGGCTTAAAAATCTATTATAGATCCAGCTCGTTCAATATCGAACACTGCTGATTACCTGTGACGGGAAAGTTGCTTTCCGGCAACATGAACGTATCGTTCTTAATGAATCCTCTTCTTGAAAAACTGTAACCGGCAACTGATTTCGTGCGCCGCAGACGTTTTTACGTTACTCAAACGATTTTTATACACGATCAACCTTCCGTCAAATGAATGACACTAATCATTATTGAATACGATTGATCGCATAAATCACAGACCGCGATTAATCACTTTTGCCCGTTCAATGCACCGTGTACGATCGCCCGTACAATCTGCTCTGCTTTGCGTGATCTCTTGGATCAAGTACAGCGATATCTCGAAAGATATGTACTTCAAAGGAAAAAGTAGAAGATATAAAAGGAGAAAGAAAACGCGAGCGCGTGAATAAAAACTTGTACCTAGATAAAAAAAGAGGAACTATAAAGATCACAGGAAAAATAGAAATAGGAGTGGCAAGTAAATAGGAGAAAGAAAAGGAGCAGAGAAGAAAATGGTATTGACAGAATACCGGAGCGGAGTGTTTTGAAGCACTTTTGGCACTGTTACGAGCGAGAGTGAAGTGGACAAGCAACAACTCCACCGAGAGCAACGTCTACACCTCCATCGAAAGAAGAGGACGGGGGGCGAAACGTCGACAACGACGACGACGACGACGACGACGACGACGAAGAAGACGACAACCGCGACAACGACCAACCCTCTGCGGGCCAAGAAGAGCGAACGGAGGCGCGGGCGTATATTCTCGATTTGGGCGGATGGAAATCTGAGATTGCTCCATATTGGGCTGTGCGCCACGGATGTGCTCTGTAATAGCAGAGCCTGACTTCTTCCCTCTCTTTCCCGCCCCTTGGTCTCTCTCTTCTTCTTCCTTCCCTTCTTCTACTACTATTGCTACTTCTTCTTCCTCTTCTTCTTCTTCTTCTTCTTCTTCTTCTTCTTCTCCTCCCTCTTTCCCGTTCTCACTTTAATATATAAATGTGTGTATACATGCGCGAACGACTGTTTCTATCTTTTTCGCTCCATTTTCTCTTTCTTATTCCTCCTCTTTCTCCCCTCTCTCTACGTGATGAGACCAACGAGGGTATATTTAACCCCGCGAACCGCCAACGAGAAATCAAGCCGCGCAAAAGTCACTTCTCTTGTACTTGGTGTCCTTCTCTTTTTATTCCTCGTTTCTCGTTCTGACTACTTGTGAAACGAATAATCGAAAAAAACCTCTCTCACTAAAGTCTCTCTTCTCATTTTAGAAATTTTTCCGTTTAGTTAATACACTTAAGATAATGTGGTTTCATAGAATTAATTGACATATTACATTAAAAAAATTAAATGAAAAAAAAGTTTCATTTTGACTTCGATGGACTGATGTCCCATGTCTGTCTCTCCCCGTCATTAGAATGGCCCTAAATTAAATTTCGCTTAAAGCTAATACGTTGCAGACGATATAAATGATAACGGTTCCATTAAGTATTATTAGACAAGTGACGTTACAAATTGAAGATGTCAATGTCACGATTTTTCTTCTCAATGAATTTGATGTGTACATCGCAACCATTGTAATCGTGAATGATAACGATGTAATAATAATACGATTATTCTGTATACTCTTACACGGAGTATATTATTCTCCGTTTTGACTGAAATAGAATTGAAATAAATAACTCCATTAACCGAGGTACGAGTAAAAAATCGCTTTCAAGATATTCAACCAACTGCATCGAATCGCTTATCGCACGTGCATTCCGAATAACAGCCGGTAAGAGCGATGCATCGACATTCACGCGGCCAATGGCACCAAATCGATAAGTGAGCTAACGAAGAAACGGCGTAATCCGGCATAACGCGTTATCTCTTGGTTAATGAGCCTTAAAGGCTTCTCTCTGTTGCCGGAGGAAGCTTCAGGTTTCCCACAGTGGCAGGCCGGATGACGCCTGGTATTCTGGGGACTCCTCCGTGCACTCCGTTCATCTCGTAATGCACGTAATTTATTGCGTGTCTGCATTGCCGAGTGGTAATCGCATTTCAACCGCCGAATCATTGCCATATACATCCCGATGCGATTTAATGCGACTCGAAGGAAGTGTACTGCAGTCTGGGACTTCAAGCGCGCAGACCTTATTAATGAGATTGTTAAAAGTGGAGCGAAAAGTTGACAGGAGGCTATTTAGCCTCGGAAACTTTCCCGGAACTGTTTGCACGTTTCTTTTTTTTAATGCATATACGCTTTTAAAGATTTAAATTATCATCATTTTACAAGCTAATTGATCGCAAGTTAAATAAATTTATATACGAAAAACATGGTTCGATTCTTTTCTCATATTAAAATTATGTAAGCATTAATAATAACATACTCTGAAATAGAGGAAAAGTAATTTTAAATATAATTTTAAATTAAAATATTATTTGTGCGTTGAACAACCGTTGTATATTATAGGTAAAAATATTGCTATGTCGTAAAAATGATAACATAGTCGTGCAATATAGATCGCACGGTCCGATCGCTAGGATTTAACGGTATTCCACGAACGTGCCGGATAAAATGCTCGAGCTGGCGGAACGCGGAGTTGAAAGTAGCTGTTGACATATCGCTGCGAGGTATTGGGACACATCGGGCAAGTAGGCGGGGTGGTTTAACCTATACGGGATATAATATACGCCTCCACGGGATCGACGCCGGAGATGACAGTCGTATAAAATATCAACGCGTCGTCCACGCAGAGAGAGAATCCCTATACAATGGCCCCGTACTCGCAGCGGCTCTGTTTGTCTGCCATTTAAAACTTAATGTTTGTACATTGAGTTTTGTATCGGTTTGCATATAATCATCAACGGTGCAAATGCCAGTTGTGCGCCTTGCATAACGCGACCTAGATACGCCTGGGAACAGCCACCTGATTCCTGAACGACGACGTGCGAGAGGAAGTACGCTCGACAACGCTGACGAAATGTGGCTGCCGCGCGTGGGTGACAATTTTGGTGCTGAGCCTTAGTTACCGTAGACGTTAAGAGCAAACGTCATCGATTGTAAGTTTGTAGCGGATTCGAAATATGGAAGGTCGCGATTCTGTATTCTCGAGAATATACATAACGATTAATCCTTGATGTTCGATCGTATGTGGAATATTCTCGTGATGGTAAAATCACAGTATAATCGAGAATACATTCATTATATCAACACTTATGGCTCTTGACCACTGATCTTCAGATTGATGACGTCAGAAAACGAGAGAAAACCAAAAATTCTTGCAAATTATACTGAAATAGAAATATTGTTTAATAAAACGATATTTACATTTGATGAAGTAATGCACTTGTAAAGTATACTGAAAACCTTACTTTTATTTTGAAATAAAATAAAGTCACATTTATCTCAATTTGACAGCTGTCGTATTGCTCGTTTTGTTTTTTTTTTTGGGTTAAGTATAATTCAATTTTAAATATATGATTATTTATCGGTCGATATATCAAAAGACAAGGAAGGATTTTGATGTATTTTACAAATATATGCTATTGGTTGCAAGTGTCGTTTTATTAAAAAAATACATTTTTTTAGATAGTTTGCAAGAATTTTTTAAATGTATTTTTCCGATCGCTTTTCACGTTAGGAGTGAATATAAGAGCTTTAACAAATTTGAGAAAGAAGCAAAGTCGCAATTTCACCGAACGCTTGAAAATGTCCGGCAATAATGACTTTCCCGGTTTAACCAAACTTCATCCACTTCAAAATTCATTCTACAGTAACTTGCATCGTTAACATCGTTGCTTTTATGGAGTCGTTAATCACTGTCGTTGCGCCGGTAGTAGGCGATAAATAATTACAAAATACGCAGCTCGATCTCGCTGCATAATGAGAGAGCTCTGACACCTGTGAGAGCGTTCGTTGTGAGACGTTGTTCGCTTTCGAAATATGAACGCGAAGTAATGTGATTCAGCTAAAAGTGAAGACTAGTGCAATCCTCGTGAGGGCATTTGAAGAAGAGAAAACGAGAAAGATTTCTCGAAGCGATGATGGGCCACCTTAATCCAATTGGATCGCCCACATGGTAGAAATCTGAAAAGAGACATATAAGGCTATCCGCTGATACCGTTAAATTGCCTAATATTCTTTTCCACAAGAATTATTTGATATACGTTGCCTTTAATTCGGCAATAGATCAACTTACAAGTAGTTCCGTGGGCGTATTTCATCGAGAAAAAGAGCGATGCGTTTAAATCCATCATACTGAACGTCTATCTTTTCCTATTGATTAAGAATTAATAAACGCAAAGTCACTTCAGTGACATGTGTTTTCATATCTCATGCCAACCTAATATCTCCGTAATACAAATACGTGAACCAATCTTTTTCTTAACAAAAATATCGACATATACGTTCATAGATTTTAATCTAATTAATATAATGTAAAAATAGTTAATTAGTATATTAAATATAAGTAAATATTAGAAAATATTAGTAAATATAAATAAATATAAGTGAATATTAGTATATTAAATATAAAAAAAATAAAAAAGATTTTTTTTTTAAAGAACATCACTAAAAGTGAAAACAGAAAGTAGAAAAATATTATATTTTTTGAATTAATTTCAAATGAAAGCTATAATAAAACTTTAATTCAAATCTTACTCTGCTGATTGTGAATATAAACACAATTTTCGAAATTAAATCCAAAGAGAGCAACACATTTTTTTTACATTTTCGTTGACAAAAAGTTGCCTCCAAATTGATTGTGGAAATTACAGAATAAAAGGATATCTAACGAAATATCCTACATAAATTAAAATTCTTCATGACACCTGGCAGTTGTTTCGCAACATCACCTGTATGCAATGAGCGCACGATACAGGCGAGCAGAAGAAATTATCCGTGCGAGTCAAAGATGCTACGCAATCGCGTGCATGTATAATGAGAATGTGGCGCCTTTCGCACGTTGCATATTTTCCTAGCTTGCAGATCCGAGAGCAAGTAAAAAAGAAGATCGTTAATTGAAAGCGAATCTGATAATAATCTTGCCT